GACGATGAGCCGAGACTCGACAGGGCATGAATGTCGAGCAAACGGAATCGCATTTCAGTTTCAAACTAAACAGAGAAGCAAGGAAAGGTGATTAAAGACAAAAATTGAAATTTGGTTCAATGAATAGACGATTACTTACAGATACAGGCCAATCGACAACTTTCAGAGTAACGTTGTATGCATAAGTGTTATTAGCTTTAACAGGACAAGTGGTGTATTTACAGGCATCAGTATCAACATCGGGATATTGAACCCAAGAATTACCCATTTTAACCTCAGTTTTTAGAACCGGATTAGATTCACTTTTGTCTAATTAGTAATGGAATCATTGATCAGTTAGATATTGCTTATGAGAAACATACTCTAATTAGTAATCAATTTAACGTTACTTACAACTAACGAATGAACCGTTTAATTTAACTTCTTGTCCTGGTTCAAAGTCGCATGGATCACTGTCACAAGGTACGACATTAACATTGATGATCTTTCCGTTTGATGCTGTAGATAGGAAAGAAATACAATCGAACAATTATTTAAATAAAGTTCTCTGTTGAACCGGACAAAGTAAATCAACTTACCACAGTTGGTGAAGGAAATGTTACGAGCCTGAGCACAGGCAACTAATAAAGCGAAGATGGCGATGGTTCGGATCATTTTTGCTGTTTGATGTTGGATTGTGACTCGAATATGTAAAGATGATCGATGTTAAACGAAATTCAACTTCTGATTCAAATGATGAGAATGAAAACCTTTTTATAAGCACTTTGCTTGTGTAATTGCATGGATTCCCCACGTTCAACTCACATCTTAATCAAACTAATTATTAACTTTTATGGCTTGCTATTTTCGTAATTGTAACATCAGTACCAAAGCAGTGATTTACATTAATTGCAGCATGTTACTATTTCGCATAATCAGAATACCTGAATGATTATGACATAAGAAATTCCAAATGAGATTTTTTCAACTGTTGTCTAGAAACGATTGCACAAATGGCCTTGATACTGCACATAACATCAGGGCCTCAAGTGCAATAAATTATTCTTTCGGCTCAGTATTTATTGATTGATATTAATGACTAAAATCATCTAGTTTTATTTGATGTCGATTCAAGACATTGCTTTCATTTCATCTATTCAAGATTTGCACCATTTACATGATTTCTGGGTAAAACCAGTAAAGATAAACATGACGTACAAAATGTCAAGTTTGTTATGATTAACTTTTTACAGCCTTCGTCAAATAAAAATGAAACAATGTAAAATTCATCAATATTTTCATGTACCAACAAGATTGAGTTTACTAGGTCAGTATATCGACATTCCAACGATTTCACTTTGATCTTTAATACTGTTTGTGACAAGAAAAATATGGACTGAGCTAATATTTTGGAGGTGCATGAGGGTAAAAATGAGTATCTGTGCTTGGCTGATTTCTGAATCTGTTGGTTACTTGATCGGTAGTACATTATTAAAAACAGTTATATTATAATGAAAAATTTCATAACAATTCGAGGTAACCGTCTGTAAACTGTCGTTTTCAGCTCTAACTGAGGCTCTCAAAGATCAATCTTTCCATATGGCCCATGACTGGATACAGTTTTTACTCAAATAAAATGCACAAGATGGAGTCATCCATTTTTAGCTTCTGTTCAAAACAAAATTGACTCAACATTGAATGAGCATTATTCCTTTGCACTGCCAATACTCACATCAACTTTTCTTAGCTAAACAGTCAACATTAAATCAAAGCCTTTTACAAATCTGTTGTTCGACAGCAAAATATCCTAAATCATGTTCTTTCGACTAATCACCTTTAACCTGTTTCCACCGGATCAAGTGTTAATCAAACCAATTGGATAATCTTTGTAAATTAAGAAACGGGAAAAAAGTTTTTTCTTTATTATCTCAGTGTTTCTTGGAAAACCTTGTGATTTATGATAAAATCAGCAATAAAAGTTTCCACCTGAGTGAAACTTTTGTTTCATCAATTCTTCATCTGTGGTAAGTCAATCATTAAAGCTTAGCAAAAAAGTGCTGCTCAACAGCTCTTCATCTTATTTACATTAAACCATCAACTTCACTTTTGCATTATTTACTTGACATTGAAGATAAACATTTTCATTGACAATCTGAGTCAACTTTTTGTAAAGCAAGAAAAAAGTCAATATGAAAGCCTTTAAAAATCTAAAAGTATGAACAAAAAATGCCTCGAAAATGTACAAAAACATTTCAACATTTAAGTGTTTTTTTGCTTCTTTGGTAAGTTAACACATCATTATATTTTCCCATCATCATCATCATCTTTTTCATTTTGTGTTTTACATCCATTTGAAGCATTTTATCTTTTCATTTCATAATCATTTACTTTACTCTATCATAAAGACTGCAAAAATGGTAAAGATTAAAAGTGTTATTTCAAGACTAAAAGTTTATCTTTTGTGTGTAAGCTCAATCAGAGAGAAGCCTGTGATCGCCATTTTCATATTCAAATATATTTCCGTTTTCAAGTTTATCTCAACATTATGAGACTATTGAATGCATTTCAAATCCATCAAACTCCATTTGGCACAGCAAATGCTCATCCTTCCCAGTCAGATGGTGAACATGAAAAATGAGAAATCAATGAATATGGAAGAAAATGCAAAACAAAAAATGATTCATTTCTGAGTTATCCATGATGAGAGGCGAATTAAACAAAAAAATTAATTTCCATCTCAAGTTCATCTAAATTCATTCAGAATATTTGAGTAAATGAGATTTTCTGTATTGATCAAGTTGGAAGCAAAGTTCAGAGTTGCGATAATTTAATAACAGTTAAGTTTAATAAATGATTCAAACTTTTTTATGCTTAGAACTTTTTCTTAACAGAATTGAGGAAAAGAGCAAAATATTCAATATCACAAGTTATTGAATTTATTCACAAGATTCATTTCATTTGTAACACTTTTCAAGAAAAGAGGAAAATGTTTCAACAGAAATGCTGTTTCGTTGAATGTCTTTTTTTTGCTGCCGATTCTTTTTTCATTTAATGTTCAGTCAGTTAGGAGTAGCATCATGTTATCAACTTGGCAGGCGTTGATAAGAGGAGGAGAAAGATGATGATTCTGATGATGATTAGGTGTTTGAATAGAGGGAAGTAGAAAAAAACCATTTAGATAAGTAAAAGAAATGGGAGGTTAAGACATTTCTTATGAATGAATGATATTGTGCTCATCTTTCAGTGTTGATCATACATAATATTTTCATTCACTCCCTGTATTATAACTGGGATTGTACAGTTAGGCTGAAAGGGAAAAGAGTTTGGCATTAGTCTTGATGAAAGCATCAATCAGTATCATCGATATCAGGAGCAGTAAAGGAACAGAAAAGTTTAACTTGGATTGGCATTGATGCACAAGCTTGACAAATTATCTTTAATTTTGGTAATTGACCTTTTCTGAGATATCAATGGAAGAATGTCAACTTGCAAAACACTAATTAACTCTTTTGCCAGCGGCCAAATGTAATCAATGGTTACCTCAACAATCACTTGTAATAAACTCAATTAGTGAAAAGAAAAAAAAACATTCAATAGAATGTCAGAAAGAAAAATTCAATTACATTAGTGCCTGAAAAGTTCCACTCATTCACAGTTTCTCAGTTGCAAATATTAAATAATCGAAATATTCATTTGCAGAAAGAAAATTTTCACTGTTCAACTTGATCTGAACAATCAATTTCGTTTCACTTTCGAATCCTAATCTGAGTCACTTTTCTGTTTGCTCGTTCCCCACACGCAAGAAGCATTCATGTGTTTTGTGCTATTTATCGATTTGCACAGAAGATGTAAAGTTTCTATCGCTCAATATTAATTGTAAATTCATTAGTTCTATGAATTTCTTGAGATGTTTTTGATCCGAATAAACTCAAAAGGGAATCTTTCGATGCTTAAAAATTGGAATTTTTCATGAAAAGAAATAGCTTGAAAATTTTGTATTAATCAATAGCGAGGGAAAGTAGGAAAAGGAAGTGATGAGAAAATGAATGTAAAGGGTAGATAATCGATAAATCATTTTTTGCCAAAAAAAATGTGCTTCACTTTATCCATCATCAATACTCACTTTGGTCTCAACAGTTTGACAGTTTTCAAACCCAATTCTCAATTAACTTGAAACAAAGTTTCAATTTGTTTCAAAAGAGGTTTTAAACCTTTTGAGAAACATTTTATGATAACAATTTGTCTAGAATAATTGTGAGGAAAAATTTAATTCCTTTTACTGGAAAAAATTAATAAGAAACAGATACAACTATTGTGCCAAAAAAAGAGCTTCAAAATTCACTCCCAGACAACACAAAAGGATAACATACAATAAAGTATAGAAAATATAATTTCTATTTTTTAAATTGTCTATTTAATATCCAAAGCTATTATTTCGAGTTTCACCATATTGAGCATTCTTGATGCTTTGCCCTTGAGCAAAGCTTAATGAGTTTTTTGTAATGTTACATCTCAGAGTTATCATCTCCTGTGTGATACATGAGATATATGAAAACAAAAACATCAACATATTGGATATTATGTTTCAACATTTCTCTCAGTGACTAAAGCGCATTTCATACTCTTGAATGGTTCATGGATGTTGTTCAAAAGTAAATCAAGTTTACGGTGAAACGAAAAGAGAAAAAAAAAGTGAAAATATTTATTTCCTTCCCAAGCCTCAAACATAAATTATCCATTAGAGATTTGTGATGCTTCGATATTGAACAATTAATCATAATTTTGCAAGTTTAAAGGTTCAACTCTTATCATGTTATCAGCATTACACTGGGAGTTTTTTCCTTCCCTTGGAGTTTCAATTTTTCTTTGAAGGTAAAGAAAAAAATGTCTATAAATTTGCGATTTTCAAGTTTTCTCTACTGAATTGCTTCCAGGGATTAAACTTTGCTTTTTCATGTTGACCTTTGATTGACCAAGGTCAAGTTTTTATACTCTGATGATTCAATATTGGAATTTTTCATTTTTTTCTTTCCTTTCTTTTTCTTACTCAAGGCAAAGTTGTATTAGAGTCGAATTTGGCTATTCAACTCGATTCTAATCAGTCATCATTCTTCCAGTTGATAGAGTTGACTTTATCAGAGTTTCTCTTCATGTGGAGTTCTGAATGCTTATTGAAATTGAAGCGGTTTACTATTCCTAATCACGTTTCAAGTTTCAACTTTTTTACTTCTTCTTGTTATCAGTGTTGGTCTAAATTTGTGAGGACAATTCTTTTAGTTTGGAAATTCATCAAAGTCAAAGATAATCTGCTTGAAGCAAAATACATCAACTGTGCATGATGCATCTCATGGAAAAAAAGTATTTCACATTCAATAATAATGGTAATTTATTTAGACTTTGTGACATGTTCGTTTGCCCTTTGAGTTTTATCCTCGAGAAATGGTAACCTTTTCAATGGGAAAACACAAAAGGCACTTATGCTGGTGGCAATTGCCATCGTTCATAGTCTACAGATTATTCTGTAATCAATTATAGAGTGCTCATGAATGTTGCCTGATGGTTTGTGAAATCAGTTATGGATTGACTTATTTTACTTGTCAGTATATTTGTTTGACATTCAAAAAGTATTGAAATTATTGATGTCAATAAACGATATTCAGAATATGAATTGAACAGTAAAAAATGACAGCTCAATAGATAAGAGGTTAAGAGCTATCAGGACGTCCAAGTTGATACAATAAACTCCAAAAGTCAAATTCAAATCA